TCCTATGATGCTGCTTGGCCTGCTGTGTTCATCCAGCCCTGCACCTTGTTGTCTCGGATTCTCCTGCATCTGCAGTTCCTACTATCTCTGACACAACAAACTCCTGCTAGATCTACTTAAACAGGACAAGGCAGTGCCTCCCATAGCTTCAGGCCGAATTCAATGGTAGATATTAAGTGTCCACAATTACCAGTTGGACCACCGTCTGGGAGGCCAAGTAGCAAATGCAGATGCATCGAGCTGCCTCCTGCTGACAGATATACCGCTAGTTGTACTGTTACTGGAAGAGCCTATTATGGTTTTAAATTTTCTGGACTACACTTCCAGTTACAGCAGACAATATCAGACTTTGGACGCAGAAAGATCCAGTAAGATCCAGTCCTGGCGAAACTGAAACAGCAGGTAGTGATGGGGGAAACCAAAGGGCTGTCACAACCAGAACTGAAACCTTTTTGGACCCAGAGAGACCAGTTCACAGTATATTATTATGGGGAGCAAGAGAGTGATTGCCCCGAGCAAAGGTTGCTGCCAGCCACTGGCTGAACTGTACCAGGGTCATCCAGGGGTTTCCAAAACGAAAATATTGGCAACAAGTTATGTCTGGCGGGCAGGACTGGATGCAGACATAACCGTATTGATGGGCAGAGCGCCAACAAGGTCAAAAATTACTGCCAGCAGCTCCCCCACATTCATGCGAATAGTCGGGTAAGCCCTGGACTCAGTTACTCATCAACTATATGAGTCCTTTCATGAGCTCAATGTTCTTAGTCATTGTGGACACCCATTCAAAGCAGCTGGACATGCACAGAATTTATTCATCAAGCACAGCAATGATGATTGGAAAAGCTGTGCGCATCTTCTGCGATACACTGACTCCCAGGAGAGTTGGTCACAGATAAGGGGCCATCGTTTGCCAGCAGGGAGTTTGGCTATTTCCTAAAGTCTAATGGCATTTGACATATAAAGTCAGCTCCATACCATCCACCATCCAACAGTCTGGCAGAATGAGCAGTCCAAACTTTGAAGGCAGGCTTAAAGAAACAGCCTACAGCTTCACTAGATATCAAACTGTCCTGGTTCCTATTTGAACATAGGACCATCGCTTATGCAATTACAGGGACAGCTCCAGCACAGTTGTGGAGAAGACCCCCAACCAGATTAAACGGGATCTTCCCAGACCTTGGGTGGTTGAGGAGTTGGGGGCATCAGAAATGCAAATGCCAGATGCAAGACTCTGCTAAGCGAGAAAGATAGTTTACTTCAGGGGACAAAGTTTGGTGTAGGAATCATGGAAATGGCCCTGCGTCAGTAAGAGGCATGGTCGACGTGAGATTAGGTCCAGTGACATGTCAAGTTCAGGTAGGTGTAACGGTCCTGAACAAGCATGTGGGCCATATCAAAACTGCAAATGGGGCAGGAGCAAACCGTGCCTGGCTCCTTGGAACAGTTGGAAAGGTTGGAGGAACCCATGGGCTCTCCCCATCAAATGTTGAAGACACCTCAGAATCTAAGTTGGACACGTTGCCTTACCACCTGAAGAGGAGAATGAATTTCTTCCAAGATGCTCAGGCGCGAGAGATAAGCTACTGCGTGTTACATGCTGCCCATATCAGAGACAGAGTTGGAGGAACCGGACCTGGTGCTAAAACAGCCCAGAAGAAGGAGTTAAAAGATAAAGAACAGGCCTACGTCCTCTGACTTAGAGGGGCAGCTACTATAACACCATCAGCCAGATGGACCTCAGAATGAGTTCCTTGATTGGAGCTGTTAATCTGGTCCAATCAGGGAGTCCTGGCTGACAGATAAGAACAGGACTGTCAGACATCCCGACACTCAGAGATAGCTCTGAGGAAGCTGGATCACTGTCAAGGACTTTCCACATGTAAATAAAAGGTGGCTTGGTGATGGGATACCAGCCTCTGTGGAGGTGTTTCAGTCTCCTCCACAAAATTACTTCTCTTCTTCTTCTTC